TTATTCACCTGAATGACATTTTCAGTTTTATGTGAAATGCTCCTATGATGTCTACAAAATGCTTCAGACCAGACAGCACATCCATGCAGGGTTCAGATCTGTGAAGCACTTTGTTTTTAATATTTCATTTATTCAAATAGTGAAATTTGTTTGGAGATACTTGCCATGTTTTTCATAATGAAGTAAAACTGTGGCCATTAAAGTCACAGCACTTCCTTCTGACCATGTTGTCTTATTACAAAGTCTAGCTGTGCAGTTCTAAAATTGTGGCATGCATGCACACACTAGTCGTTTTAAAACTTCTCTTCTACAGACAGCTGTGCTTACCTCTTCCCATTCTGTGCCTTGATGAAGGCTACTTAACCCTAGACATCCTTTCTGAAGCACAGCCTTAAAAAATTACATTCCTTATTCGTCAATATAAATTACTTCAGTGTGTGTACATTTTTGATGTTTTAATACTTATTTTTTGGTGGCTAGTTTCATTTCACAGGATGTGCCATATCATTTGAACAGGAACTGCAAGCTGTTAGGAGTGGACAAACAGCTGGACATTCCATTTTCCTTGTACAAATCTGGAATCTTGATTTATTTGAATACCATAAAGAATGGTTATATAATTCTAACATTTTATCTGTAATAATAAAAAAACAAACAAAAAAACCAACAAACCAACAAAACCCTACAAAAATATAAATTAGTTGATGTGTAATAAAGGCTAATGTTTAAGTACTAAGGAGAGTTGTACCTTAGGATAATGCAGATATATGGTATGTGGTGATAATGCTGTGTATGGATAGTTTAACTGTCAAACTTTGGGGATAAATACATCCATACTGGCCTTTCACATACTGTTTTAAAAACTTGGCTTTTGATGCATGACAAACTTACATGTACATTAACCGTAGTCTGCAGGTAGTTTGAGTAGTTCTGTTGCTTTAAGAAGTAGCTAATACCTATTTTTCCCTTTGTACAGTGCCAGCAGCTGAAAAGTGGGGTGAAATTGCATCATTTGATGATTTTGCACAATACCTCTACCTAGCGCTAATAGAAATCCTGCAAGTACCTGAATTCTCACAAATGGCGCCATGTATATCAGCACTTTTTAGATGGTGGCACTCCAGTTATTTTTGCAAGTCAGTATCCAAAAAACATTGACCTTTCATGTAAGAACTTCTTGTCAAATGAAGAACTGTAGATCTCTCTAGGAGTTCTCCCTGTTTCCAAGAGTTCCTATCAGCAGACTTTCCCTTGGAACTGTTTAAGAATTACTTTTGGAATACAAGCCTGTTTGTTTGTGCCAGGCGTGGGGGGAAATAAAGGGAAGGCAATGAAAAGAGAGTTAAATGAGCCAGAATTTCTTGTAGTGTTTAATGTTTGTATCTCCCATAGAAAGGTAGGCTATGGGGAAGCTCTTGTTGCATCATGGTTAAAAATAAAAAGTTCTCCTGTGTGTAAACATTAAAACTGAAACAATGTAGATTTTACATAATGTGTTTAATAAATTAAGCTATTAAATGAATTATATCTGAGAATTTTTGTTATTGTTTCAGAAGGGTTTAAATTTGTCAGCACATTGGTTACATTTTTGAAAAGAATACTTACTCTGAATTCAGAGTGAGTATTTGCTTCTGCAGCCAACTCTTCTTCACAGGTTCGTCATACAGGAAGAAGTTTCCCAGAGCACTGTCCTAACTTAGTTTTGCATCAGGTCTTAAAAGAAGCATCACACCTTTCTCAACATTTAAGAACGTTGTCCATCACAGTTAAAAGAAACCATGAAAAGGCAGGCAGTAGCTTTTGTTAGTAGGCAGGTTCTTGTATAATACGAGAGGGTTCCTTTGAAACTGCTCCTACAGAATTCTAGAAAGCCTCTGAAGATTGAGACATCCTACATGAGTACCAGTGGCTTCCATACTATTCGTCCATAGAGCCACAACCAGGCTGTGGCTTCCTGCTGGTACCAAAGGGGACAGGAAGGACAGAATTCACTTTTAGCAGCTTTTTACTAAGCTGCGTAATTACATGTGTCCTGTCAGGCAGCACATGCAACTGGAAACTGTGTCTACAGCCAGTCTTTGTGCCAGAGCCTTATGTGTGATCTATACAGATACTGAAGCATTGAGAATTGAGATAACCTGATACGGCTGGCTGGGCACCTGACTTCCTGTAGCCCATAGCCACAATGGACTGGAATTACTTTTAAAAGGACTTAAGCAAGCTTATCTTCAATTCCTGTCCTGTAAAATGAAAGCATTTATGAAGTGTGACACAAGCCTCCAGCATTTGTTCCTTCTGTATTAGTCTGAGCATATTCCTTGTGGCTACTTACCTGACTCACAATTTGGTTCTGCATGCAGTGAAGCAGCATGAGAATTACTGAATTATTAAACTGTGAAATAAATTAGCAACTCAGTCTTTAAAGTCAACAGCTCAGGGTGCCTGCAAATTCAAGTCTATTTCTACATCAGTGACTTCTAAAGAACTGAGAGGGGATGTCAATGGTGGAGCTAGTTGGACTCAAAGAGATCTTTTCTATCCCTAATGATTCAGTGATGTGTATAAATGAAGTTCATCTTACAGGTTTTGCTAATTTGCCTCTTTTCCATTTAAGTGTTGTCTTATGGAAAGATATACTACACTATACCTGAAAAAAATAACATGGTATTTAATATACAGGGTGATGCTTTCACCCCTGCATCCTGCTACAGTTAATAGTTGATGTTTTTGACAGCTGTGCCGCAGAGTTTATGCAAACTTCTTTGGAAAAGCTCTGCCTGTTCCTTAACAACTCACATATATATATATAACCCAAACTATATTAAAGACACTTCAGTACCTTTCTGTGAGGACACAGGGATGCATTGCTCTAAGTCTCACTGAAAGCTCTGATCTGTGCTAAAACTCCTCCTTGCCTTGAAGGGTGAAATAGTTACCTTACAAAAATAACTACTTGAATTTACACTTGGCCAAAAAAACCCTTCTTCTGTGCTTATGAGATGTGGCCTTTCTGTAGTTTTCTTCTAGTTATTACAGTGGGGGATGAGAGGGTAAAGGTGATTACACTGGTGGTTTCAGGTACCTCAATAATGTTTCTTTAAGTGATACCAAGTCCACAAGATAAATGCTCTTGTTTCTGAGAAACAGTTACTGGGATTTCTCAAAGAGAGGCAGATTACTAACAGACTTGGAATATGGGTAGTTACCAGAGGACAACTGGAAGAGACAGGCATTTCAAATAAAAAGAGTTTAAATACACGTTAAAACAAACAAACAAACAAACAAACAAACAAACAAAGGGAATGATCACAACTCCACTTTTGTTGTCCAGACCAGGGTTGTACTGCCGAGTATTATGCAAGAATATACTGAGATTAAGTCCACAATCAGAGAACATAGATTTCAGTTGTGGCAGCCCAATCCAGTTTTGGGTATATTTAGAAATGCACTTTCATGATGAAGTCCAGCACCTTGCTTCAGTTGTGAAAGAATGCACTGCTTTTAAAATACAGGCAGCACAGCTTGCCTGCTGTCTGTGATAAAATCGCATCTAACATTTTAATAAGAGCCCAAGCGTAAGAGCTTGTCCCATTGCAGTCGCTCTGGCTTAGGTAAGACTTTGGTGACAAAAAGCAACACCTGTCATTCTTCTAGTAGGATCTATGAGAAATGGATGCCTTCTGAATTGAAGCCATGCAGCAATCTGAAAGAGTGAAACACTTATGTTACAATGCTACAAATTTATACTTCAGCTTAAGGCATTTTTAAGATGTGCTGGCTGACAAAGAAAACAGTATGAAAGCAGCCATCACTGGTCAACTAGAATAAAAAATTGCTACAAATTACAGTTATGTTAGATCACACCAAGTTTACTATGCTTCTTTAAAAGCAGTAGCGGTCTTAATTATTACACTGAGAAACAGCTATGAACTTTTATCTCTAATTAGGAGAGGAGTCATGGTGCCACTTAAATTAACTGTCCAGAAGTAAAAGCAGCATATAGCAGTTAATTATTCATATTTCAAATTATGCTATAGACTATGGCCTAATCCTCAAGGCAAAAAAAGGCTGTGTAAGACTCCAGGAAAATTCTAATAACAGTTACATTACTAAAGCCATTTTTGAAGGAGCTATAGAAGGGTCTAGTACATAAACACCAGAAATCAGGTTCTTCAGCTAACTGCTTCTCAATGTTGTAACCGGCATTTAAAATATATATAGGGTTTAAGTGTTCATATTCAGGACTGGAAGCCAGGACCGTCTGGTACTGAGAGGGAAACTACTGTTCCTGTGCAACTCAACGCTAATTTGAGCTACACAGGTACAGGTGCAGATAGAATTTAAAACAGCTTAAAAGGAAGGTATAAAGAGAAAAAAAAGGATACCGAATGAAATCATCTATATCCATTGAACGGGCTCGTTTTTCAGAGTAACCTGTATCTTTTAGGACTGTCTGTATTTTCTCAGCAATTTTGAAGTTTTCGGGTATTTCCTGTCAATGGAAAATAGGATAAAAATTATATTCTACTCATAGCACAAAAATGGTTCATTTAAATTACCTATGTTTTCCTGCTCTTAGAATAGTTCTTATTTCAAGTGATAAAAAGTTGTACTTTTTCTTGTATGAATTATTGTATTATTCTATTGTATCTGAATTTTTATATCTCAGCTCATTCACTATAAATGAATCACAACAGTATTGCAAGACACAAAAAGTTTTATTAGATTAGTAAAAGACCTTGAGACATACACAGAAAATATTTTAATGGCATACTCGATTTTAAGCTTTTTCACTATAAATTAGTGACCCTTTTAGATTTTTCACTAAGAAAAGAGGCAAGTTCCTGCCTCCCTCAAACTCTCTTGGAAAAACTTTTAACACGTTATGCTTTTCAGTATTAATTTTTTACTCTTCTAAAAGACAGTATGTAGGTCACAGTACACAGAAATAGAATATATTAAAAAGGAACTTACTGTATTATGTAAGGAACAATGAATTCGGTAATTATGATCCAGCAACTGCTCTACAGCACTTGACCTAAAAGAAATACAAATTTAGAATGGAAACTAAACTATAACTACATTTTTTATATAAATGTGTAATTTTTTACTATAAAAAATTGTAACAATTACACAGAGCTGTTCTTTTTAAACAGCTGCCTAGTTTTCCTCTAAAAGAAATGGCTAACTGGATGGGCTCTCAAATTTTGAAAAGATTTGACAGAAGTTACTTACTTAAAAGCTGCAGAAAGTGTCTTGTTTTTCCTAACAAAGGCTATCCTTACCAGACCATCCCACTCCTGAAATTAAAAATTTCAGAATTTACAGAAAAGAACATATAGCTACTACCAACAAGAATAGTCACTACAGACAACTTCATGAAAATCCTTCATGAAAATGAATTTCTAAGCAATACAAAACCATTCCTGTCTTGGACAAAGCAATACAAATGGAGGAGAAAATACTTCACCCACAAAAACCTCTGAACTGTACTTTTTTGTGCCTAGGCACTATTAGTCAGATCCTATGTGCTGAGAAAGCAGATATTTGAAGAAAATCTGGCTAACCTTGGGCAAGGCTGAAGTGGCCTTTAAGAATGCTATCCCATAACATCTGTCTTCTGAGATTACACTCGTCTGAACATAAGACTTCTCACAGATACTCCTTTGACCAAAACCTACAAAGTCATCAGCTGTAAGAGTCTCTGGGAGATATTATCTATGATGAAAGGGACATTATCCGCAGTACTCCAACTGATCTTGATTTTACCAGAATTACTGTACACAAAGCTGTACCCAAATTGATGGTTGCACGTTCTGTTAATGTCCTAACACAAGCCTAAACAACAGACTATTTTAGAAACTCCAGCAAACAGCTGGTACTTCATAGTAAAATCAGCACATAGAACTGAGTAGTATTATCTTTAGTATGTTGTGTTGAGTATACAATGGTCACCTGGAAGTTGATAGGTGGTGGTGGGTTCTTTGGCTCTATTCTTACAACACTGGATTCAACTTTGGGAGGAGGCCTGAAGTTGTTCTTTCCAACCTGTTGGTCAAGAGCAGTGAGGCAGCTGTGTGAATAAGCAGCAAATCCTCACATCCCTTGAAACACTCTTCTTCTGTCTTTGACAGCTGTTACCTAATGCAGAATGACATACCTTCATCAGGTGGTCCACTCGAGCTAATAACTGAGTATTAATGGAGAGTCTGCAGTACAGTTTAGTTCCTGGTTTTGCAACCAAACGAAGTGCAAATTCCCTTTGAAACATAAGTATTGCACACCTGAGAATAACAGGTATCAGAAAATTAATTCTAAATAATTAATTTTTATGTCAAAAGACAACTAACACACTTGGAAAACACAGAGTTTGCCTCAGCACTTACAAGTAGTAAAAGTTTATCATAAACAAACTCTGCTCTAATTTGTCAAAGTGCTCTAAAAAACCCCAAGTCATCAGAAAACTTGGTGAAGCCATCTAAGTCTCCTCAAAGATGTAACAGAATTTAATATTAACAGTGCTAAATGGATCAGGATCAAAGACATAGGCTGGTCTCAGAGTTGCTTGCCTGTAACAAATCATTTTGAATAACTCCTTGGTTATTCAAACTCTCCAAAAATTGACCAGTAATGTCACCAACATTAGTGCTTCAGTGACTGACATCAAGAACTGCAGACATACTGAATAACACACAGAGATACCTGGGCAATTAGACTTTTAGACCAGACAACAGGCAGTAACTTGGATTTGATCCAACCCTTTCCACACTACCTTTTTTAGGTAGGAAGGCATTTGAAATGCTACGATGCCCTACTTATCCCTGGAATGATAACTAGGTATAATATTAAAGAGGTGTAACTTCTGTTTTCATCAAGCTGGACTAGATGCCAAGACTAAATCTCCTCCTTATCTTAATATATCGACATAAACTAATTTCCAGGCACTATCAGGTTTATATTACAGAAGAATTTTGGTGTGGCTCTGATCCATCAAACTGCTATTTTAAGAAGCAAAAAAAAATTTGATCTGAAAATATTTTTAAAACTATTTTTTTTCCTAAGAGGCAATACAGAGCTCCACTCTTCCACATACCTGAAAAAAGGTCTATGAAGCAATAACTTGAAAACAAAAGGTGAAGAAATCTGAGGAAAAGAGTAATAGAGTTAGTATAATTTCTGGGAAATTATCATTTAAAAAGAAAAAAAAGTTCTGCCATATTGTTTAGCCCATACCTGGTAAGGCAAGTTAGCCACACACGCATTAAAGAATGGTAAGTCTGTTTTCAAGATATCTCCAACCTTGATTTCAAGTTTGTTTGCCAGACACCTGTGGGAAAAAATACATTGTGATTATCCTCGGAGAAGCATGTTGCCAAGGTTTTGTCAAAGCAGCTCCACTGCTTCAAGTGCTCACTATTTCCACAGTTGATACTTACGTGCCCTGGACTCTCTTCTGAAGTTCACCAACAAGTCTAGGGTCAATTTCACATGCAATAACCTGAAAAAAGCATATATTTGCAACTTTATGCAACATCTCCTACTTGGGATTAAAATTTTAATCATAAAAACCCCCAGCCCTGTATCTATTGCCGTAGGTGTAAATAGTTCTTAAAAATTCCCTATTAGCCTATGCACCTTCCTCCCTCTTCGAATACGTGCAAACTTTATGGCATAAATGGATAACAGCAATGTAGTTTGATAAAACAACAAAAGATTTACACAGACAACTAAAACCTCATTGGGATTATGCAAATGTTAAGAAAAATATCCAGGGAGTGATTCTACTGATTTGAATCCAGTGTATAAAGACCACAGTCTAAGCCACAATGTGGTCAGTGGTAAGATGGCGTGCATGGGGGGGAATTCCCACTTACTTTTTTTACTTTCTCCAACATCTTTACTGTCAGGTTGCCGGTTCCCGGGCCCACTTCCAGAACGACATCCGTGCGGCGCAGAGCAGCCTAAGGACAAACAGCATTTCGAGTACTTGCCTAGAACGGATTCCGTGCAACCATTTGACTTCAGAACAAAAGATAAGTGCTTTTTACGTAGCAAAAAGCTTAAACTGGGTATCAGGACAGCGTGAGAGTCGTTTAAAAAAGAAGGAGCGGAAATTAGGGAGAACAGGAATGTCCCAACGCTGACTTATGCTGGCCAGGCTCAGAAAAGCCAGCGAGCAGCCACGTTAAAAAAGAAAAAAAAAATCACACACACAAAGAGGTAGCGTGATGGCAATAATCGCGGTTCAGCGGTAATAGTGGCGGATCAGCGGAGCCCGGGAAGGGCCGGAGCCAGGACCGCGCGTTCCCGGAGATCCTGGCCAGGCCCGGCTCCCGGGACAGCCGCCGCCGCCGCCTCCCACCTTCTCGATGATGCTGTTGACGACGAGGGGGTTCTTCAGGATGTGCTGCCCGGCCCCGGTATTGAAGAGGATGCCTAGGGCAGAGACCGCCGTGTTACCGCGGGTGCTCGGCCTCCCCGCTCCCGGCATCCCGCCGGTCCGGCCCGGCCCGGCCCGCACTCACCGCCGGCGCGGCCCTCCTGGCGGTCCGAGCGCTTCCCGGCCCGCGCCTTGGGCATGTCGGCAGCTCCCCACTGGGATCCCTCGGGAAGCGCCGGGCTCGGCTCCAACCGTCCCGGGACCGCGCTCCACGTGCCGCCGCCGCCACCCCCGACTGGCCTCGCGTGCACCCGCCGCGCCGGACAGCGCTCCCTGGCGGCCCGGCGGCCCCCCCTCCATCCTCCCGCGAAAAGAGGCTCCTGCCACGTGTGATGTCCCACCCTTAAGGGAAAGGGAGCACCCGAAATTCGTAAATGCTCGGGGTGAGAGGGAAAAGTCAGAACGTTCGCAAAAGCTTGCGAAGATTTGTAAGTGAACTACAGATGGCATGGAAATCAGTGTGTTAAGTCCCTTACTATCTAAGCACACAAGAGTGGGATTTGGATAAAGGGGTAGGATGAAAAAGGAAGAAAGAAAAGATGAATTAAAGAGGGACAGGGAGAGAGAGAGAAAGGGAGGAGGGAAGGGAAGGGAAGGGAAGGGAAGGGAAGGGAA